TCTGAGCCTAATCTGAGCAGGTCGGCTCAGATTAATCGGGACGTTTTCGCGACTTTTGGTTGATGACAGAATGTGGATCGAAGTTTAAAACACAGACGTAGATAAATTTTCATTGCTTTCGGTCCACCTGTTCCTGCTGAAAGCAAACGGAAAACAGAAACAACCCCCCCTTTGTTCATGCTTGCTTTAACCCTCGGGGTTCAGTTTCTAATTACGATGTGTTTGGTTTGTTATGCGACATCTTTGGTGGTTGTTGCATAAGTAGCTGGAAAAACCATCGGAAAATCATAAAAATGTTTTTTTTTATATATAGTAGGGATGTGAATTGGCAGAAATTTGGCGATACAACAAATATCATGATACACGATACAAATAATTGCGATATAATCTGATACGTTAATAAAAACGACATGCTGTGATTTTTAAAATAATGTAGCTATGCTACCTAGCAGCTGGACGTTAAAAAGTTATATAAAGATAGGAAAATGAAATGGGGGTTTTCCTATTTATTTTTTTAATTTAAGATCCAATCAGCGGAAATCTAAACCAATACCATTATCTATCTACAGAAATATCGCAGTATTGGTATTTTAAATGATAAAAATATCGTCAAATGAAAAAATCGCAACATTTGACACGTTTTTTTTTTGTTTGTTTTTTTACACATCTGGTAAGGATGTTAATTAGCAAGAAATCGGTGATACGAAATTGATGATATAAAAAAAATTTGTCCCGATATATCCTGATACATTAGCAAAGTGAATTTTGCGAATTTTGTTACATTATAGTTGCTTTAGCGAGCAGTTGGAGGTTCAAGTTATGTACAGATACGACAATTACATTGATATTTTGACCATAGATTATTTTTTTACATTAAGATCCATTTGGCCGTATTTTGAACCAATACCAATATCGGCAGATAAAATATCGGGATATTGGTATTTTAAAACGATACAAATATTGCCTCATTAAATATTGTAACATTTGACAGACCACTAAAGCTAAGATGTTTCTTGTTTTAATGTCTAATGAAAGATTGTAAATATTATTTAGTTGTATTTTCTTAAATGTATATAATTAACTTTATGTTTTATTAAAATTAGTAAAACATAAATAGGGGGTAGTTAACGTGTATGGCCTCAACTGACAGTGATTTTTTTTTTCTCTCGATAAGTTAGGCTGCCCCCAGTCAGTGGAGCGCCCGCGGCAGTGAGCCTTATCGGCACCATCAGAAAATCAAAGTGAAACATGACGCATATCTGAGCTGACTTTATACAGTTCACATGGATGGATGAGTTCAAGCTAGCGGAAGAATCCTTCACATATTTAACATCCAGGTCTGGATGCTGTTAGTCGGTAACTTCATGGAAAACAACACGACAAAAAACACGTAGCAAAGCTTTCGCTTTCCAGCACAGATACGTCAGGAGACAAATGGAAGAGAATATATGTCATGTGAAATATTTACTTAATCACAGCAGAAAAAAAAGTGTTTCACATTCAACACAGAGTTGATCTTTTCTTTTTTTTTTTTTTACATAGTTCTATTAAATTAACTGTACAACTACATACCCTGCAATCATGACACTGCATTTCGATTTAAGGCAATGCATCCCACACTGGACTGCCACTAGGAACACACTTCCCTGTATAATTGCATTAATATGTGAGAGAGTGTATTGCTCATGGGCCCTGTCGGAGGACGGCCCCATTTATGCAGATGGGTTTTGGTCATTAATACCTTATTAAGGCCCACAGAGGAAATTACATTCAACCGTAATTAAATTCAGTGAATTGAAGCAATTTTTAAACAATGTCAGGGGCAGAAGCGCAGCGATTTGACATTCAGTGCAGCATACTTGATATGAGTGCAGATCTATTGTACTCAAGACATTTTAGTGCAGCATTTACTTTTATGACTTGATCAAAAGTTTGCACAGGTTTTTACAGCACAGCTTAACTGTGCTCCGGTGGGTTAGTATAGCATATGGATACCGGCGTCGCCAGCTGTGACCACATCTGCTCTGTATTTATAGAAGCCGAGCGTAATAAAAGTAGCTTTCTAACTCTTTCAATAAAACTTCACCTTAATAATTGAGAAGCTAGTTTTTTATTACATCAGGTCTCCATTAAATGGATTATTTCTCATTTCTATTGTTTGATAATAAATAAAAAATATCCACCTTCAACAAAATTCTGAAATATCCAAGTCAGACCACTAGGTGGCGATACTGTCGACAATTATTACATCAGAACACAAACAAGGAAAGTGGTAATTTTTATCTCCCATAACACCTTTGTTCGCATTTCTCTTTTCTTAATGGTTTTTTGGCTCATTTAAAGTTGATGCTGTAGAGAAGGAAAAAATGGCTGCTTTAGTGTCTAAAAGAAAAAAACTGTTAGTATTCTGAAAATGTTGTTCTTAAGTCTTTGTTTTGTCACTTTTTAATCGCAAAAATAATCCTTTACTCAAATAATCTACACTTAGCATTTTATTTTTAACCCCGATGCCTAAAAAAGCTTAAGGAGACCTTTATCCCTCTTTCCCAGTAGCTTAAAAACCATTTAAACCCAGTAATAGTGGACTTTTAGTGGCAGTGGGAACAGCTCACTGACCGGCATCAAACAACTTAGCAGCGACCCACGTTAAAACCTCCACAGCTCTGATTGGCGTGCTGTGGGAAAACCAAAGCCAGGTCGACCCACTAATTTACGTGATACCATTGAACGCAACCTACGAACGTCAACAAATGCGCCAGTCGCTTCTGATCTAACAAGCAGAACAAACTCTGTTTCCATTGGATAAACATGGAGCAGCTCTGATGAGAAAGAGACAGACAGATAATAGAGAGAAACAATAAAGCACCCTGACTACGCCCTGGCTGCCTTTTTATGATGCTCTCCATTGTTTACTTTCCTGATATCTGTCACACTGGTGACATCATCAATGCTAACCTAGCGTAATGGTGTCAACAGACTCTTATAGGGTGGGGGGGTGGTGCAAAGGACTCACAGCTGGCCGTAAGGGATTAGACCAGCTTTTAGCCAGTTGGAAGGGAGCTAAATCCCGATAGTTACCAGGTCAAAACACGCGTTAACCCGATATTTTCAAGGGGAAAATGGTTCAAGACTTACTGCCAGGATGCAATGTGCGGTTTTGAAATGTCGCAGAAGAAAATCGTACAAATGTAGACAAATATAAATAAATATTTGGCGGAGGTTACAGGATGAATGTTGACCGGAAAAACTAGTGCTAACAGTAGCTTCGAGCTACATCTATGCTACAGACGCGTTTTCCCGAGCCCTGACCACTTTTCCTGTGTTCTTCTTTTCAGATTTAGGCTAATTTTTGTTGATCTAACACTGTTTTTAACCTGTTTGTCTGTGGATAACATTGGACCACAGGCTCAGTGCTTTAGCATACATCAGTTATGGCGTACGGATATAAGCAAGACATATGCTAATGCACCACATTACACACTTCAGTGCATTAGCACGGGCCTACAGATTACAGCATCGGGATGTTTAACTCCACGTTTTCGTTGTTTTTATTGTCCAGAGTCTGTTGTTAAAGGACTTTAGCATTTTTGTGTAGAAAAATTATTCCACTTGCATGTTTTTCTTTTCTTTCTGTTTGGCGAAAAACCTGTTTTAAGTATTCTACCGCCACCTAAATCTCTTACTTGCAAGGGCAATTCGTAAATGTGAATCAAATCCAAACTTTTTCGAACACGTACGACTGATCATCATTTCACCTAAAAATGAAATCCAATTAGAGCCACTTTAATATGTTGTGCTAAATCAGATACGTACCCAATTCTAATCTGGACAGTCATGTCGCATTTATCCAACCCTATGCCGTTGCCCTGGCAACCATACAGGCTTCTCTACAGCAGCAGTTGCTGCTCGGCTAAAGGCCATTGCTAATTGTTGTGCGCTAGTTTGTTTTACCATCTGTCATCTTTTTTATGACGTGGTCATGATACTGTTGGCTGCTTTTGCTCAACACTAATAATCAAAGGATACCAGCAGATGCTATTAAGTTTTATTGTCGTTTTGTTTTTTTTTACGAAAATTTGAAAATTGATCCTGTGTGACGTTTACATGCTCCTAATTGATAGAAGTGATGCAAGAAACTCCAGTGAATTAGTTCCTTATTGTGTTTTTTAGACATTCATTGGCCTGAAGGTGTGTGATGTTAGTCTGAGCTCTAATCTAGTTTAGCAAGTTAATTTTGTTCCATTATTGTTGTTACCAAAGGACATGTAAAGTAAAATTACAAGAACAAATTTTAACTAAATCTCAGAAAAACAGCAAGTTTTCGTTTCAAAATCTTTTTTCAAACCTCCATTCCCAGATTGTTATTGTTTTTTATTCTAATTTATAAAACAGGCTTTTTTCAAATGCCCATTTTCAAAACGTGTTCTTTGCTCGTAACAATAATGGAACAAAACTTACTCCATAATAATTAAAGAAAAGAGAAATATTATGAATAAAGAAAACATCCCTGACTCTATTTCAATATAATCAATTATTTTCTAAACAAACAAAATTCATAATCCTGTTTCACTTAATGTTTCACTTATTAGGGTTAAAACTGCTGAAGGGTTTTAAAACAGCACCTATTTCTCCTTATTAGAAAGTAGGTAAAACCTACATGATGGATTAACATACGTAAGTAAAATTCTGAACAATCGGCTGCGAACTGTGTCTTTTTTTTTCTATTAATTTAAATCAAACTGATGTTGTTCAAGTGCAAACTTAGATATGATTGTTTAGGTGAATTAAAGCAGCAGCAGCGCCCCCTGGTGGAGCGTTTTTATGTGTACCGTTCTTGTAATCAGTTGTAGTCACAGCTAATGTACCTTTACAAACAGATGCTATACCTCACATTTGCATTTCGCAGTTATTTTCAAAGTGCCTGGAACAGTGAGACGCTCGGAGCCCAGTTTGATGCGACTTTAGGGTGAAATGTGAGTTGTTGGCAGTGCGGGGACGTTTTAAATATTGGTCTCTCTCTGCATTGCCCCCTCCCCTTTTTCGGTTTCGTCAGCCAGGTCCTGGGAGGCCTGAGCGACGCCGTCGGCCTCCTTCTCGTCCGGAACTCGGTCGGGATCTTCGGTCTCTGCCTGCTTGTACATCGCCGCCTTCTTCTTCTCACGATCTATGAGCCTGTAGTTGATGAAGTTCCCGATGAAAAGCCAAATACTGGCAAGGATGACGACTCCGCCGCAGCAGAAATACATGGACTTATAGTTCCCAGTGATGTCGACCAGTTTCCCTGCAAGAGAGAGCAGAAGGCAGGGAAGTAAATAAGCATCACGCAAAATAGAAGAGAAAATAAAGTGATCTGAGGCAGGAAGTCTACCTGCTAATGGTGGACCAATGAGGACGGGGCAGCACTCTACAATGGTGGTGAGTCCAACAGCACTGGAGAACCTTTGAGCTCCAACGAGATCCATCAACGTCTCGAAGAGTACGGAGCTCACCATTCCAAAAGCGAAGCCAAAGAATATGGCATAGACTACCAACCCAGTGTAGCTTTCCACTAATGGACAAAGGATATGACACACGCCGTTGTAGAGGACGGCGAAGCTGAAGAAGTACTGGATCTTAGGACGGACCCAGCGAGAGTTGGCCAGGAGCCCCATGGAGGGCCTGGCAAACATATCCACAAAAGCCAGGATCGAGAGCAGGAAGGCAGCCGAGTATTCATCCACGCCCATGTCTTTGGCGTAGGCGGCGAGGAAGACTATGGGCGCGAAGAAGCCCAGGAACATGATGACATTGCCTGACAGGTAAATAAGGAAGCCTCGATGTTTAAACAGTGTGAGGTCCAGGTACTTGTTGACGATCTGCCAGAGGCTGCGCTTTTCCGTCGTAGTGGTGACGGCGGCCAACGCCTCTTCCTTCTGGGCTTTGCTCGGCGGAGGTCCGAGCGGCCGCATGAGGGAGCCGGCCACGCAGCAGTTCAGCAGCAGCCCCCCCAGGATCAGGAAGCTGCCTCTCCATCCGAACTGGTTAAAGAGGTACTGGTTGAGAGGCGCCAGGGAGCTGAGGAAGACGGGGCTGCCTGCCATCGCTAACCCGTTAGCAATGGGACGCTTCTTGAAGAAATATTTGCCAATCATCGTCAAAGCTGGCTGCAGGTTGAAGGCCAGTCCAAGTCCTGTGATGACGACAAAACTGTTAGCATTACATAAACGCAAAGAAACAGGTTAGCTCATAATCATGGGGTGAATTTTACAACAAAAAACAAATACATTTTTTTATTTCTATTAATTTGAGAGAAATTAATGAGA